TATATATATATATATATATATATATATATATATATATATATATATATATATATATATATATATATATATATATATATATATATATATATATATATATATATATATATATAGTTCATATCAAAGGCAGCTAGGGGCAAGTGAAATTGAAGAGAGTAAGATTAGCAGCATAAGACAGAGTTGCATATATTTACCCAGTAAAGCACAACAGTGGTGGATTTAGAGGGGGGTGTGCACACTCCCCCAGATTCTGGTCAACAGGGGTGCATGGGGGGGGGAGGTGTGCAAAAATGACGTTTATCCTAATTCTAACCAACTTATGTTAATTAGGAATTCAGTTGCGTATCACTAGTTGACAATAGCGGAATAGCCAATATTAAATGTTCTGAATTTTTAAATGTTTTGAGAATCTAAAAATTTTCCAGAATGTTTTCTCAGAATGCTGGAAATGCCATTTCAGAGACCCCCAAATTTTAAAAATTTTCCGGGGGAGTACTGTATGCCCCTGGACCACCCTAGAAATCTCGCGCCTTTGGTGCTTGTTTCGCCATTGGTTAGCACCCCCCCCGAAAAAAAACAACTTTGCTGGATCCACCACTGAAGCACAAAATACTTTTATGCACCATATTTTATTTTACTTTAAATTCTAATGCTAGAAGATTTTACTCATGGAACATTGGAAATGAATGGGGGAAGGTGGTTCATAAACAACATAATAACACTGTCTTCTGAGTCCAGCAATGCAACTAGTGGAGCACACTGTATACACCTTTGTTACACAGTATGTATGTATTTGCGTTGTCGTGATTTTCTGCCGAAATGTTTTTCAATAGAAAAGTTAAGGCTACAAGAAGCACAGTAGTGACTATTTTTTAATAGAGACTTATTGCCACTGCTGCTATTACACTTGGACAAGCAAATTTTTTTTTCTTATATGGAGAAATTATGTTGTTTTTGCATATAGGTTCAAGTTTTTTACTTGTTTTTCCAAAAATGCAGCAAAATTTTTGTGACTCTGATATATGAATTTGAACAAAAGAGTCCGCTCAGAACGCAGAAAATCGCATTTCAGAGGTCCTAGATTTCAAAATTTCCCGGGGGAGGATAACCCCGGACCACCCTACAAATGCGAGATCTTATGTATGCATCAGTCAGCTCAGGAGCTGGATCCGCCCCTGGGCAAGGGATATTGGTAAACATTTTTTTCCTATTATAATATCCCATTCCCTTCTAATTATATAATGGCCAGTGTCTCTCTAACAGCACATATTCTTACTCATCAAGGGCAATTTTGGACCTTGATGAGTAGTACACATGCAAAAGACTAAACTGTTTCATTACATATTTTATGTCTGGACCTTTGACATTGCAACAAAATAGGTTTGGGTGGGGCAAAAAAGTTTCCCAGCATTCCACCGTTCAGGTAGCTAGAAATTTTGTTTCGAAAAAGGTGGGGTAATGATTTTTCCGGCTGCATTATATTTGCTCTCTGTCCCCCACCACTGCCATAAATAATGACCAGTCCCTTATAGAGTTTTTATCACAAAATATTATTGTTGTATGAATGTTGTTGAATGCTGATGTTTGTTTGTCGCTATATAACAAAACGATTAGTGTCTGTTCCCTGGGGAAATAGTTTTGTTTTCCCTTGAATCTCAATGTTTTATATCTTGACTTTGTTTCAATGTTTAAATTTCATCTTGTCAAGACCAAACAAACTATTTCCCTTGGGAGCAGACATTAACTGGTAAGTGAAATTTTGTGTTGTATTTACAAGATATTTTGTTTTGATGAAACACACTAACCTTAATATAATTGCTCCCATCTTTGTCTGAAGTGAAACCCTCAGTTTAAAATGTAAATTAAAAAAAAAAAAGTCCTGTGTAATTATTGGCAGAAAAAACGTCATGTGTATGTTTCGGCAGAAAAATGTTGCATGTAATTATTGCATTGAAAAAACGTCGCGTGTAATTCTGAAGAAAAAAACAGCGAATGCAATTTTGAGGAAAAAAACGAGTGTGTAATTGGAAAAAAACGGCTGGGATTTACAGTCATGTCCCTTCTCGGCCATCGTACCTTTTGCTCTATTATACCCCTCAGGGCGAAATGGAGGAGATTTGACACAACGTTTTATGTTTGGTTCAAGCAGCTCTAACAGATATGTAAACTTTGTTATTGGCACTAACAAACTTTTGTCAGTCGCTTCAGAGAATTGTCCCCAGAACTTTGGCCAGTCTGTAAAAGAGCCACCAAACTTTGCGATAACGAGTTTCGGTAATTTTGCAGACCCAGCGGGAAAATACTTCAGATTCTTTACATTCCTTTTCATGTTTGGGGGTTGAAGCAGAGACAGAAGACAGTTCAGCGGCTTGCATTTCCATTCTCTTTTCAAGCAGTAACATTTCATGCTTCAACTCTTCCTTGTGTGTCACAAACTTTTCGGCCTTTTTGGCCTCAGGTGCACTTGTTGATGATTGTCTGATATATGATATTTTAATATTTGCTATGCCGTATTAGCATAATTCTGTGGTCATATCTGCATTGTAAGCATTTGTTGATTCTCATGTTTGGTGAAGTTTTATTTAATTTAAGATTAAAAAATTCATTAATACTTCACCAGGAAAATACAAAAGAAATGAATGTTTAATCAATGTTTGTAAATCAGATAAAGATTTGTCCTGATTTACATAAACTTCAGCTTTGATTTTCTCGGCTTAGACAATGTTTATTTTTAAAATTACTTCACCCATTAACTCATAAAATGGGTCATTTTTTAAGTACTATTCCATGGACTGGTGGGGCATTTGCCCTACTGGGCCCCTTCCTCTGCCCCACCACTGAAGAAAAATTTCAATTTCAATTTATTAGATTTTAACCAAACAAAAAAATATACAAATACAATACAAAAAAAAACAATTAAAAGAGAGGAAAAAGTATTAAATACGAGACGACCTGTGTTAGGAGTTTAGTGAGGAAACTCAACAACAAGCTTAGAACGCTTATAATGTGTTGGGCACCTTAAAATTAGGAATATTTATCAATTAAATGTTTAACATGCAGTGATACAAAATAGTCAGAATATAAAGAAGTATTTACAGTTTACAACATTGAAATATTAAATCATGTTCGCTAGAAAGTAGAGTACAAAGTATTTATTACAAACAGATTAAATTTCAAAACTCAGAAGATATTTTTTAAATTTGTTTCGTAAAGATGCAATTGAAAAAGTGGTTCGGATAACTTAAGTTATTGAAGAATTTTGGGCCTTGATGTCAAGAATTATGCATAGTTTGTTAAAGGACACTATAGTTAATCTTATATGACTTTTAAGCGTAGTATTTGCTTGCGCATGCGCGTTAGTGCTCGCTTTGACGAACACGTTTTAGATTCGTAACATTCATATAAAACGACCGTTTTGGACCATAGTTTTGGGACTTTATGTTAGTTATGTCATGTATTAAGATGTCAAATATATTCATATAAACAATCCACATTTTGGTGCCGTGACCAGTTGTATTATGGAAGAATTACAAAGACTTCGAGCATCCCGAAAACTTATCGAGCACACCTCACAACACTTTACAAGAAGATTATAGAATTGAAATCCGCCACGACTATCGATCAACTTCACATTGCCACGCTCGAAAACTATTGTCAACAACTCAAAAGAAAGAAAGACATCTTATCACCACTCGATGAACAAATTGCGAAAGCTATCACCAAACCCGAAGACCTTGAATGTGAGATTTTTGAAACGGAAGAAATGCACAGCACAATCGACGAAAGGTACAGTGAACTTACCACATTTATTGAGATAAAACGTAACGAATTAAAGCTTAAAGTTACTGTACAATCATCCAATAACACTAATGAGTCATCCCCAGAAACCTCACCCCAATCGGAACAGCCTATTCAACAGGTAAATATCCATCAGCCAGAAATGAGTCGAAGCCCAGTTGGACCCAATTCCCAAACAGAGGAAACCTCAGCTTCCAACAACACTACTATTCAAAATCAAACACTGATAAATAACATTAACAATGGAGCCAGTGCCAGTGGTTCTTATCCATCAGTTAGTCGACTGCCAAAGTTATCCCTACCTACATTTTCTGGGGACCCCAATGCCTGGCAAAACTTCTGGGACTCGTTTAAGACAACCATCCATTTAAACCACACACTGCATGATGTTCAAAAATTCAACTATCTAAAGGCTCAACTTACAGGTGATGCAGCTAGAGTTATAGCAGGTTTCCCTATCGCAAGTGCCAACTACAAACATTCAATTGATCTCCTAATTGAGCGTTTTGGTCAACAACAAAAGATTGTCAATGCACACATGCAACGTTTGCTTGACCTACCCAAACCCGACACAGGGCTCTTAAGTCTTCAGCTTTTCTACGACACAATAGAGAACCACATCTGAGGCCTTGCCTCACTTGGCCAGTCAAAAGATTCCTATGGGGCCCTTCTTATACCAATAATTTTGGGGAAATTACCAGCTGAAGTTAGGCGAAACCTAGCCCGAGAACATCACACCTTAGAATGGTCAATTGACCATCTGCGAGATGCCCTCCTTAAAGAAATCAAGATCCTTGAAGCTGGTCTGCACATAGACAAAACTAAATCAGAGCTTAGTCCTGCCCACACTGCTACAGCTGCATTTCATACTGGTTCAGGGGGGGACAACAATACTCAGAAAAGAAATCAAGGTGACAAGACCCCACACTGTGCATACTGTAAGGGTACACATTCCTCACCTTGGTGCGAAGTAGTGACAGATCCAGAAAAACGATTGACGATTATTAAACAAGCAAACTTGTGTTTTAATTGCCTTGGACACCACAAGGTGTCACAGTGTCGATCCAAATATCGTTGCAGAACATGTACATGCAAACATCACACCAGCTTGTGCAAACCTCAGAAACCACCCATCAAAGATCCCCCAGAACGGGCAAATGAAGAACAAGGGGAAAAATCTGTCCACACCACACTAATCCCTGCAGCCCCAACATCAATCATAAACACTCAAGGAAACGAAACTACTATTTGTTTACTGAAAACCGCTGTTAGTACTGTCTCCTTAGCTAACCAAAGAGCTGTTGCAAACATTTTGTTTGACGAGGGTGCCCAGTGCTCTTTTATCACCTGTGAATTAGCCGACAAGCTTCACGCATGTCCCCAACAAACTAAAGATATCCAGATTTCAACATTTGGGGGAGAACAACCAACCAGTCACACATTAGAAACCGTTACCATCAACATCGAAAGCATCACAGGTGAGAAAATACCAGTTAGTGTTTTGGTTGTTCCAAAGATTGCCACACCTTTGCAAAATCGTATTCGCACCAACGTCCGGACTCTCCCTTACCTAAAGGGAATCCCACTCGCCCACCCAATCACCTCAGACGAGAAATTTGAAGTCTCGCTCTTGATTGGAGCAAATTACTACTGGGAAATAGTCCAAGACCATATTATCAGAGGAGCTGGTCCAACAGCTATGGAGTCTAAACTTGGATATCTGCTATCGGGACCCTTACCCCTGGGAGAAGCCCCATCCAACACCACCATGTTAAATGTCATTACCATGCCTCATCATCAAGTAGAGAGCATGGACCCCAATCGGTTTTGGGATGCACCACCTTTAGATTTGTTAATGACCCCCACAGAAACCAACGACCAGAGTGTGATTGGGAACTTCAAGGAAGTAGCAAGGAACTTCAAGCAAGCATTTGCATTTTCCACCGATATAGAGAAGGCATTTCTACATGTTCAACTCCACGAAGATGACAGAGACTGTACCCGATTCCTGTGGTTTTCCCAACCTGATGATCCCGAAAGCGTGTTTCAAGCCTACCTATTTAAAGTTGTGTTGTTTGGTGCTACAAGCTCACCATTAATGCTCAGCTCATCGACCAATACAGTTCAAAGATTGCTACCGACATGAAAGAAAACCTATATGTTGATAATCTCATTTCCGGACAGCCCACCGAAAATGATGTCACCCACTATTACAAGTTGGCGCGATCCAATAGAGAGTTTTAGCTTGACGTTTATGGCAAATGTCAAACCGCTAACGAAGTTTTTGCTTTTACAACTCTATTATAACAGCTTTTACACCAATTTTGAAATACAAACAATTATTAAACTTGTGCTCTTTAGCAATGATTTAAAAGAAAGCAAATTAACCACTAGTTACATATTCACCAAAGCAGTAAATTAAAATCTGGCGTTTGAAGTTTACGTTTGGTGTATAAATTTCATGCTTGAACTGCTTTAACGCTTGTATAGTCGTTAAAGCATGAAATTTATACGCCAAACGTAAACTTCAAACGCCAAGTCTTAATTTACTGCTTTCGCGAATACATGACCAGAGTTAATTTGTTTTCTTAAATCATTATTAAATACCACAAGTTTAATAATTGTTTAATATATTTCAGAGCTGGTGTAAAAGCTGTTATAATAAAGTTGCAAAATCAAAAACTTCATTAGAGGTTTGCCGTAAACATCAAGCTAAAACTCTCTACTATGTCCTCTGGTAACTTCGAGCTTGGGCATCCAACAGTCCACAACTTAAGAGCCTCTGTCTACAAGAAGGAACTGCTGATACTAAAACTACTGTTAATGTTCTCGGCCTCCAGTGGAATATGTTGACAGACACTTTGTCCCTCACCCCTAAACACATCTCCCCATCCCTCAACTTACCGACCAAAAGAGAAGTCCTCAGCAATTCCTCGAAGATCTATGATCCACAGGGCCTGTTATCCCCAGTTACTATTAGAGCTAAGTTACTCATGCAAGAATTGTGGCTACAAAATATCAAATGGGACGAACCACTTTCACAAGAACTGAGCGAGAAGTGGTTAAGCATAGCCGAAGATATCGACATTGTTTCAGACCATGAACGTTCCGAGATGCCCCATCACAATCAATCCTAACAATACCAAGCCCGAGCTCCATGTCTTCTCGGATGCAAGTATAAAGGCCTATGGCGCCGTTGCTTATCTCTGACACGGTCCGCAAATCACAATTCTTGTGGCTAGAACACGTGTTGCACCCCTGAAGAAACTAACCCTACCTAGACTCAAGCTTATGGGTGCTGTCACCGCCGCACAGTTGGCCAGCTATGTCAAGAACGCACTTGCTACAACTACCATGTACAGTGACCTCACTGTGAGACTTTGGACGGACAGTCAAATAGTCTTACATTGGTTGTCCAGCAACAAACGTCTAAGCCAGTTCATCATGAACCGTGTTCAAACAATCAAAGATCTACTTCCCAAGGCAACATGCAACCTCGTTCCCAGGCTCTTTGCTCTTGGGAAGCAAAGACCCTGGTCGGGGCTGGTCACGTGACCCATAGAAAATTGATAACCTAAGAGGGGGATGGAAAAGTATCAAATTACATGTTTCCACTTCCGCACCTCACACTTCGATTGCAAGGAGTGACCGTTCTATACAATCATCTTTGAGAATCATATATACTTCAAAATACTTGCTAAATTGGTTTCTGTTTGCTTTTAAATTATACAAACATGCTAAACTGTAGATTCTTATAGCAACAAACAAGTCAGAAAATCAAGCAACGAAAATGTATGATCGTATATTCTTGGAAATATTTGCCCTTTTATTGTCTCACGGGGTTAGGGCGCAGTTTCATTTCACGCGTACGTTTCTGTATCTGGTTCAGATACGTATAATATTCTTATAATGTGCCATTGAATTGTTGTCATATGGAAACGGTATAAATTTTGTTACATAGAGGTCTCAAAAGCGACTGTGTAGGTTGTAGGCGTAGGGCCTTGTTGGTTCTACAGCAAACGTTACATATTTGGACACTAGCCAAATAGACATTGAATGCCCATTCTATTGATTCTAAAACGGTTTATAGACATAGTGCTCTAGATTTTTTTAAAAAGGTTATCATCGTTTATATTCACAAGGTAGGAAGGAGTGTTAACGTACATGTACAAAATTGTTTGGGATCAACAGTAAAGAATTATACGACAATTCACAACTGTATGCATTTCCTTTTTTGTTGAAGCCAAAATCACTAAATCAGATTGCACAGAATCTCCGATATGAATCATATAGCCATTCACTCTCGCCCCTTGAATGCAAAGGAATGATAGCCGAAAAGGTTTAGCAAAGTATATTAAGGCACTATTTGTTTTATGTGAGTGAAACAGCAAAACACAAATATAGACGTGTGTACTCGTCCACTGCACCATAAAGCCAGGGCCCTAGGACCTGTATTGAGTAAATGAGTTTAACATTGAAAAGAAGTTTAAAAAACAGAATTTGTTATATTTTGCATTTGAATACAATTTATTACAAATTTCACCATCAAAACTTTTTTTGAGAGGCTGAGATTTTTTTAAAAATGTGTTCTCAGAATGCAGGAAATGCTATTTGAGAGACCTAAATTTTCTGGGGGGACATGCCCCCAGACCCCCCATAAGAAAATGCTAGACCTTTTAAAGTCTTAAAAAGGTCTTGAAAATTGTATTTAAAAGGTCTTGAAAAGACCTTGAGATCGCCTAAGGTATCTTGACAGGTCAAAAGACATTTTCAAGACCTTTCGGAATCAATCTGGAAAAGTCTAAAGAGGTCTAGAAAGGTCTTGAAAGGTCTTGCAAAGTCTTGAAAGGTCTTGAAGCTCTAGAATGATCTTAGAATCTATTAACTCTTTAAAAGCAGGCCCCTATAAACGTAGTATGTGCACGTACTATGACACTTTGCAGATTCATATATCCGATTTGGTGCATGCTATGTAGATGAAAATACCACCATTAGATTCAGTGAAACAATATCTCCTAATACCTATCGATAGTTTTAGTCAAATATAGTTTTAGCGAAATTGTATAACTATTTATGACCTTTTGACAGGTCAAGCAGTGTCATATTTCATTATATTAATCAATTGTCTCGAACAATGCAAACTATTCATACCTTTCGCCGAACATAACTTCGGCCCCTTTTGAGATATCGTTTTCGCTATAGTCTTATTCGAAACAGAATCCAAAACACTATTGAAAGTGTTATTTTCAAGCTTGTAGCCTTAGTTTTTCATCTTTTATTACCGTATTTCAAACTGTTGCAAAACTAATGAAATCAGCGGGATATTTTTAACCGGAAATATGCTTTAGGTCGCCCTAAACATCGCGTGTTTACATCCTAGCGCTTGGAAAACATCGGAAATCGATTCTAAAGGTCAAATTACATCTGCAGCATGATTTTCACATGCATTGGGCTACGGATACTCCTTATTGGCCAATTTTACATGCAGCACGCGCGTGCGAGTAAAAACCAAATGAAACCTGATGTACTAAAAAATTCCAAATAAACATTTCTACTCGCCATATTCAAACGAAACTTTCTACATAAAAGCGCTTGAATACAAGGAATATTTCACTTATATTAACTTGTGGCGAATACTGAAAAGTTTAGAAAATATTCAACTTTTTCTCCATATGAAAATACACAATGTTTGGCCAAGCGGTGAGTAAATATATGATTGTTTCAGTTTGTGTATTTGTTTTGATGGCATTAGACCCCCCGATGAAAAGCTTATTTTGCTAGGATTTCAATGGTGTTCTTTGTTTTTAAGGGGGGTGAATACGCGCTGAAATATTTACGTTATAAAACAGTTGAATCAAAATGTTGCTTGCCGTGAAAAATGTCGCATGTCAAGAAAGAGTTAATAACCTTTTTTCGTTGAGGCGCACATTAGTGCGTGCTCTTTACAGCATATACACTTTTAATAAGTGTGACAAAATCAATTTATAAAAAATTGCACAGTTTTAATATACTGTATATAAAACAAGATAAGAAACTGACAATGTGTCACGTTTATCGTCAGCCTGTAATCCATAGGGATAGCTACAGTTAGTATAATATTATATGACCTGATTTATTAACGTTTATTACAAACTGGCATCAGTTGTTTCAATCCTACTTTGTTGGGAATGCCATCAACTTCTTTTTTAACTTTGTTTGTGCACACGTACACTTGTTTGTGAACATTTTGTATAACTTTATGCTTTCCAAAGGGGCCACATGGAATATTTTTGCTGAAGCCAGCAAGTATACTGTAAATAAAAGAATATAGCATTTAGTACATGTATCGATTAGGATGCATTTTGTGCAATCTTGCCGTTGGTAACATCCAGCTATTCCGAAATTGACTTGAGTAATTAAAGAGGACATAAATCATAACATTTATTTGGTACAATAATATAATTTAACAAAGAAAAATTCCGCGAAAATCGAAATATTACTGTGCAGCATAGCTCTTTCAGTTACAGTCTTATTTATTTAGTTACTCAAATCTTGACTGGACTGTAGCTGATGTTGCTATATTTCACGGTGCACGTTCTTTGTATCAATATAAATTACATTAATTTATACTAAACATGTTTAAAGTAGAAGTATCTTTGATTGCTGAAACGATATTCGGATCTAGTATTTGTTTACCCGTTGGAAGCACCTGATTTCTAAAAGCAACAGACATCGCCAGTGTTTCCTCAGAGAAAAAGTGTTCCATCAAGCAATGGAACAACACCTTTAAATCTGATCCTGATTTGTGATAATTCTTGCTTGCCATTACCTCCTTTGAAGTGCGACGAAGGCGAAGATGATGGTGTATCGTTGAGGCAGGCGGTGGAAATGTTGTGGCAGTGACAGCACTGGTGTTCATAACATTAGTCTTCGCTGGAGCCTATATAAATTTTGAAACAAAAAACAATGGAACATTGGTTATTGTCAAAATTATTAAAGAAAGGAAGAACTGCAATCCAGATATTTTATGCAAAGATTATCTAGGAATGAACATTTTTGCAAAATATGATTCTGATTTTTATACATACAGGTGTTGGTGGCGTTTTTTGTGTCTTGTTCCAGGCTATCGGTGGAAAACTGATCTCAATTACTTCGTCATTGCACTCCTCATCAGAGCTTGCATCACGAAAGTATTTTGCCAATGATTATTAAGCAGACCTAAAAATATATATTATTATTAATAAGATATAAGTATATACGTCTGCAGGGGCCCATTCACTAGCTGCAACAAGTCAAAACACAGCTTTCATTCTGAATGAACATGCACTATAATTATCTATATACTATCTATACAATTTTATGACTTATAGATATAGTGATATAGTGATATATAATTATATTTGTATCATATAACTATATCTATAATTATATGTTCTATAAATTAACATATAACTTTGTTTTTTTAACATAGACATAGTGTTCATTAGGGCCATTTATAGGAGCGAAAATTAGCCTGGGCTTAAATAAGTCACAAACGACTTGTATAAACAGTCACTGATTTGTTCGCAAACAACAGCTAAATAAGCCTTGGATTAAAAGCTAGGCCTAAATTTCATATTTTAAATTGACTGTTTATACGAGCCACAGCTTATTTTGGCCGCAGCTTATTTTCGCTTGTATAAATGACCTTATATTGTACAATACTATAGTGAGAAGTTATACCTGCAAACTTTTCTTTTCTTAAATGTGCAATAGTCCCTTTCAACCTCGCATTTTCATCTCGTAATATGGCACACTCGCTGCATTCGGGAGGGATAGCACTTGCTTTCTGCTAGACAGAGTTATTTAGCCATTGCTTACCCATTCATCGTCGCAATTGTATGAAAGGTGTAATAGCGCTGCTAATTTCCGAAGAAAGTGGTACCGGTGTTTCATCTGGCCAATCTGGGTTTGTTTCTCCTAGCAATTGTAACTCTTGCCATGCTCTTTGGTTGGATGACTTGTGGCTGTTAGTTGAGTGAATTGGCATATTAGTAGCCATGAAGTTATTTGGCGGCATGTTTGCAGGGCTGGAAAACGGGTCATCGTCTTGTGTTTGGACTTCATCTTTTTGGCTAGGATCAACTTGCTGGTTGAAGACCATTCAGTCGACAGCCGAAGGTCAGCCGAAGGTCAGACGAGTACCAGAATTTAGTGGAGTCGTATTTTTTTCATTATTAATTCAACTATCTGAATTCGGCAAAGTCTCGTGGGCTACAGGAATCTGGGTCTTTTTCACACGAAGAGATTCTTCGTTATCTTTAAAAGTAAGAAGATATTAACAATTATACTATATGTGATAGTGTTAAAACATAATGTGAATATTGGGAAGTTATACATGCTGATCACATAAGACAATGCCAAAACATTTGGGGAGAGCCAGCAATCAGAAAATTGTGCTTAATTGGCACAAGTATTAGAGGGTATCCATATATCACGCAATTGTTCTTACTGTAGCGTTGAAGGATTGGTTTCATTTCTTGCAGCTAAATACACGCCTATGGAAACAATTTTGTACAAATAGCGTGAGCTCGAATTATTTTAAAGAATTGGTATAATTGCATTGGGCCGGCCTTCACATACTGTGTTACAGTTTTATAATTATTGTATCACCTCGATCATTACTTTGTTCCAGTGATTTTGTCTTTTTTTTGCTTAAATTAATGTATTCATTTTGATTAAATGTGTAAGCCGGAAATATGCTGTTGTACGGTAAGACTGATAACCTCGCCCATACAAGACATATAGCCATAGGCAAATAGTAAAGATATATCACGTCGCCATACAGTTTCAACTATGCCAAATGCAAATATAAGCAAGTAACTATTTTAACTTCAAGGATAATTCAGAATCAAAACTAATAGTTTTGAATATTTTCCTATTGAGAATTGAATAATATAAATTAAATATATTGACATTCTAAGTCAAGATAGTTCAGTTTAGCTTGCTTATTGTTATAGCATATTGCTAACAGATACACACATGTAACGACGTCCCTTGGTTTGCCATTCACATAATTTAACTCATCCCTTGGTGTATAATTCTATCTGAAATGAGAGGTAGCAACATTCGAAGGCGAAGAAAGGGCCTTTGCTCAAAGCATTGAAAATCTCTATTTATCGTTTCAGGTAAACTTTTATACACCGAGACCGCCAAACAAATTATCTAACCACACTGTTCCTAAAGTTAACACTATATTACCTGTATGAATTATACATGTATGGAGTTTTAGTATTATATATGTACGGATAACTGAAGTATTTTTGCTTCATACCAGCACGTTTTGACTTCACCCTTCTTCTTCCTGATCCGCCAAGCCACTGGTAAAATCTCGCCCAATTTAGCCTCACCTACTATATCCTCATATGCTACAACACTATTTTGCTGGTCGTCGCTCCAAAAGACAAGAGCAAATTTCTTTTCCGCCATAATTCCAAAGACAATTTTTAGAAGGAAGAATTCTACTGTAGACGAACACTCTGCCACATAAAGTGTCAATTCGACTGCCAAAATTTTCAATTCGACCGCCAAATTCGGACACTGAGTAACAACCAATCAGTGAGGGAGATTACAAGCATGTGATGAAAAGACTCTGATTTCAGGCCAAACTATTATCAGATTTACAATCAATGAATCTACATTACAGCTGTTTTACAGCATTCTTTGCCACTTCATATGCACAGATATTATGTGCCTGCATGATTTCATGTTGCATTGTATGTAAAAATTATATAAAACCTGGCAAAAATGTCTGAAGCGCCAGTAAAGAAAAAGAGAAAGACAAAATGGTGCAATTTGGTTATACCAGTTGCCTTATGTTCTACGACTTGACCATTATACTATTATGTTGCATGCCAATTACAAAATTTATCTTTTAAGACTTAAATTAGGATCACTCATCACAGCATTAAAGGCCAGCTGACACCTAGGCCACGTATTTTAGTGTCAATTGGCAAGCCATTTGCACAAGGGAGAGCAATGAACTGAAATTTAATAAGGTCAATAAGGCTTTACACAGCAAGATATATTTACTTTATATAAGCATATAGCATTAATATGAGTTGCATAATGCATGGTGAACATGAAACACAAGCCTTCAGAATGGAATTCCTGCTAAGGCTCAAATATTAGGACAATACTATAATATAATAAACACGTGAGTACCCAAACAATTTGCAGTGATATAAAGTATGAACCATTATATCTAATCCATTTGTCTACTGAACGCATTTATCCTTTATTTTACTTCTAACGTGTATATAAACAATAAATATATGTGTCTAATTCAAATACAAATGAAAAGTTAGCAAATAGTTCGTATTGGCGCGCTGATTAAATTATGAGTAGCTGTTTTCTAGACCTTAAAAGCTAGTTCAGGAGAGAACAGCTGGATATCAAATTTACCTAAAAGACCTATTGTAGACCTTTCAAGACTTTGTCGCAAGACAATTTCACGACAACCGCGACTTAAAGGTCTTACAAAACCATTGGTAGACTTTTAATAACACATAAATGTCTAGGAAAGGTCTCCAAGACTTTTTGTAGACTTTTTACGATCTATTTAGACCTTTCATTTTCCTACAGGCCCCTAGTTAACTTGTGCCTATGGTGCTCAGCTCACACCATCGGGAATCGCATAGTATCATGGGGGGAGGGCAAGGAAAATGGGCCCTTTTGCCGTTTTGCCCCACCACTGGAGTGTCCTTAAAAATGCACTGAGCCATTCTGGTGTTACTTGTTCATTAATATTTGACTTAAGATCTTTACATCTTGTTAATGTAATAGTATTTGACTTAATTAATGAATATCTGCTTGTTTTTTTTAGATCTGAGGATGATCTCGTTTGTATAGTTCTGTGTGTGGTATATGTAACAGAACAGTATATTTGCTTAATGCATTAGCTGCCATATGATTTTAGAAGTTTTACAATGATAAGTATATGTATTTTTTCGCAATATGAAACTGGAACCACAGCTTTTTTTTATGCCTTATCAATTTAATCTAAATACGTTTTATAATTTAGGATTTAGGTTAGTAGGTGGGGACAGAGGGGTGTATGTGTCGAGGTAGGGGCTAGCACCTTAAAACCACTCTGCTTCTTTAGGCCTTGAATAAGGGCTGTCCCTGTCTGAAGCACAAGTTCACTGCATCGTTTTTGTTGCATGCCATATATGGCATGCAACTTTCATATAGCTCTAAATTTCGTGTCGTTGTGAGCGGTGAGCGTACCAGTCACGTGGCAAATTCGTAAAATACGACAAAGTTTTTGTCTGGGAAACGCAAAGAAATATTGATTATTCGCCGAAAATTTACATAATTGAGCGCTTCAGAAAAATAAATCGAGGTACGTAAAGCTTTACTGTTTTTAGCTTACCTTATATTCTGTTATTTGTTGTGATTTTGGAGCTGTTGTGCTCGCACTGATTAGTGATTATTTATCAATTATCAGGCGTTTGTATTTATATATTGTGAAAACCTCAAAGCCGCGAACGCTCTCAAAATACTCAATTTTTATATACTCAAACTGAAACAGAGCCATTGTGCTCACACACTGATTATATTGTGTGCAAAGCATCAAAACTATAGCACATTTTGTAAATAACATGATATATAAATATCAAACAAAATTTGAATTATAAATAGTATTTTATATACATACTATAGAAATTTAAATTAATACAGCGAAATAGCAACCATTGTGAAGTACGCATAAGATTCAACACGACATTCAACATGACATTCGATATAGTGTAAATTAACTCATTTCAATCACTCAAACGTCAAAATGATAAATAATAATAATTTTCAATCTATTATAGTAATTCACCGTTTTCACAGTTTTTTATACCTTTAAAAAGTTACAATAAAGCTAAATCTAAAGGAAATAACGTTATTTACTTATAAATTTGATAAAACCTTGACCCACCTTGTTATTGTTATCATTACTGTCGCTTGCAACTAACTATTAACATTCTCTGGTTAAAAAAGATTTATTTATTAACAAGCTTGCAGTCTTCGACAGGTAGATTTATAATGTGCTAGTGATATAAGATATGATACAGAGTGAATAGTGCTATACAAGAGCGGTTTACAATTACATTTACTGACAAAAGACAATTACTGACAGTTCTGCCTACGTAAATATATTGTGTAGAATTTAAAGTTTTTTGAGCAAAAAGCGATATTGTTCTGGCAAATGTTTTGAGTTGTTATCAGCGTCTTTCATGCATGCAGAGGCATGCGTCTAAGAGGTTCTGTTAGTCCTTTGATGTATGGAAGGACGGCGTAACTGCGATTGGTCTTCGGTTCTACTAATTCAAAAAACGATCTTACAAGTTCTTCGGGTGGCGGCGTTCTGTTTTCAAACATGACACGTTTCTGTTCAACTTGTTGCAAAAATTTCTTAGGATAACCGTTTGACATTAACGTGTGGGTTACATGTTTGCGTTCTTGTTGTTTGCCTTCCTCTGTGTTTGGTAAAGTTGCTGCCCTATGTAGGAGAGTTTGTGCAGTGCTAACTTTGTGTCGTTTGTCATGGTGTGAGTTGTAGTCTAAGTACCTGTCAGTGTGTGTAGGTTTTCAGTATACGTCAATAGAAAGGGATCCGTTATTGCGTGTGACTAAAGTGTCTAAAAATGAAAGTTTTCCGTGAAGTTCCTGTTCAATGGTAAAGTTAATGTGTGGGTCGATAGAGTTAAGTAATTTGTAGAAATTGGTTAACGCGTGTTTTTTAATGATGGAAAATACGTCATCAACATAACGAAACCATTTCTTAGGTGGCATAGAAGATGTAATTAGTGCTAAGTCCTCAATTTCCTCCATGCAGAGGTTTGCCACAATAGGGCTAACGGGACTACCCATCCCAGCTAGCACATAACGTTATTACAACGTTGGTAAAAGGTTGTTGCAAAGTTAGATCTAACTTAACTTTCACACGACGTTCACACAACATTACTTTTCTATCCGGAATAAGAACACGTGGTGTAAACGTTGGTTTAACGTTGAAATTTAACGTTCCAGGATGTCATGCGACACCTTCTTAGCAATGTTAGATTTCAACGTTGTAGCAACGTTAATGTGTAACGTTTGGACGTGACATCAAAACAACGTCTTCCTGACGTTAAGATTTGATATTTTCGCAACGTTCCAGGATGTCATACGATATCTTCATGGCAATGTTAGATTTTAACGTTGTAGCAACGTTAATGTGTAACGTTTTGATATGACATCAAAACAACGTCGTAAACAATGCCGTCTTGACGTTAAGATTTGATATTTTCGCAACGTTCTAAAAAAATTAAACATATGTCTTCTATTATTGAACCTGACAGTTAAACTATAGGTATAAAACCGCATCAGGCCATATGACTTCGTATGCCTATTCAGCTGCAGGAATCGCGAGGAACATCGCCTTGGTTAGTTCTTACTGGAAATTTTGTCCTGAAAACGTTTTATCCAACTGATTTTAAGCCAGACAGTAGGCCTTTGTATTTGGCAGCTTATCAACAACTCACCAAATATGGTAATTCTGACCATATATACGTAAGGTGTTTGCGCCGCGGGCAAATTGAAAAGATTACACCATTGTTCTTGGCTTGCGACGCAACTGAAATGTATGCTGACTCTGTAATCTCATTGAAGCTGCTGTATATTTCAGAAGAACTCGCTCGTTCGTTTTGTTTTCGATGTAAGTATATATATTGTATCTGTAACATTTGAAACTTCCATGTGTCTATCTCATGTAGGGAAAAAAGGCGAACAAAATATATTTATTTTGATATGTGTCTGCATGTTTGTTTGACGCCATGTAATTTACATTTTACAGCGCCTCTCTTGAATCGAAGATATATTTCAGAAGTACTCGTTCATTTGTCAATGAAATCCAAGAATGACTAATTAGTATACTGTATTAAATATTGAACTGTCTGTGCCAGTGTAGATGGGGATGCAACTCAAACTACATATACTGATGAGAACTAGAAGAATTACGACGTTTCGAGCAAAGGCCCTTCGTAGCAACGTATTTACTTTGGAGGGTCTTCACTCGAAACGTCGAAATTTTCCTTATATTGTTCAGGTAATTCTGTAATTTAAACTACAGACTGTTATTCAAGCACATTGTGGTATTGCGTACGTCTATTACTAAAATGCGGCCTAGAAAGAGTTCCGTCATACAAGATTGTTCAGGTAGTTGCATCCCTACCAACGAAAGCTTGTTCATATACTATACTGAATTAAATATTATTGTCAATATTCATCCAAACTATAAATTGGATCAGTATTTTTAGCCTATATTATTTGTAAATGAAGCTCTTTCCTTAAATAAAATGATTAAATCAAAGACTTTAGTTAATTGTTCTAACGTTGATCCTAACGTTGTCACAACGTTCCTGCGAGTTCACAAAATAACGTTACTACAACGTTAATTT